TTTTGTTCAAGCAAAGTATAGCAGCCTTAACACAACCTGTTTAAACACCTAATGCTAGTCAAAGACAATACAAGGAAAGTACCTCAGCTAAAACAGAGTAAGTATCTAATGAGTAGGACATCCGCTTATACAGAATGAACCAGAACAATCGGAGCATCAGTGCTCACACACTCCCAAAACCACGCTTCAAAACTGCCTAACTGAATGAGTGCATTCTGCCATGCTGTACAGAATTGTCAAAGAATTAAAACACTTTGACACACCACAGAGAGCACAAAGGTAGCTCTGCAGTTCTCCAGAAAACCACAACACAGTGCTACTAACAATGAACTCTGAAAAAATTTATCAGGAGGGGCTAGCCAGGAAAACGGTCAAAGTCTGAACATAGATTTCTTCCTGCCTAAAGTTCCCTTAACTGCAATGCATTTTATTTTTCACAGAAAGATAGAGAGATGGTTTTTCTTTCTGAAAGAAGCCTTCTCATCAGAATGTAAGTAGAGGTGACCCAATCACCAGTCTTTTTGCCTGAGAATACAGTAAGTGCTTGTTCAACAACAACCACACTACAACTGAGCCATATGTTTCCATACTGGAGGTATAAGTGATAACAATCCTGATGCTACATACACACAAGGATGGTTGACTTCGGAGGTATGAGTGATAACAATCCTGATGCTACATACGCACAAGGACGGTTGACTTCGGAGAGCAATTTTAATTTCTTCCAACTAGAAACAGAGTAGCTTCCAGTTCTGTTTACTATTTTATTCTTTTTCCACGAGCAGTGTATACAGGGCATAAGACTTCCTACCAACTTTGACCATAGCATCGTAGAATATCCTGACTTGGAAGGGACCCACTAGGATTAGCAAAGTCCAACTCCCGGCCCTATACAGGAGAGCCCCAACAATCCTACCCATATGCCCGAGAGCATTGTCCAAGCACTTCCTGAACTCCAGCAGGCTTGGTGCTGTCCCTGGGGAGCCCGTTCCAGTGCATCTGGAAAGGAACCTTTTCCTAATACCAACCTAAACCTCTCCCAACACAGCTTCACATCGTTCCCTCAAGTCCTGTCACCGGACCAGATTATACAATGAAGAATAGCATGGTTGTGACTGATGACTGCCTTTTCTAGATCCTTTGGAACAATGACATCTAATTGAATCGGAGGGTTGCACACTAATGTAACAATTACATAAAGCATTGCAAAGAATATCCAATGCACACGTAGTTTCAACTACCACACTTCATATATTCACTTAGATGCTTAGAGATGTTAATTTAAAGTAAACCACAATACTAAGTTGCAGAGGTAACACAGCTTTTATTCCCTAAATCAAGAGTATGAGCTTTGGTCACGCACTCTAATTTGCTCTTGAATAATTACTAAATAGCAAATCAAACTGCCATCCCCATTTACCCAGTCAGAGTCAAGCAATTGGGTGGGCCATGACAGAGTGCCCAAATAGTTTAGGCAATGTTGTTAATCTTCATAGTAGAAAATTTAATTATTTTCAGGCCCAGTGCATAAGAGTACTGAAAAGTCATTGAAAGTTGCTGAAATATACCTGTTCTAAAGATCCCATTCAGAATGTGTCACAATTTTATCAGCTTGAAACCCACAGGACTGAAGTGTGAACAAATAGTACTGGCAACTCTAAACAGCCCAAGCAGTAAACTGACCTAACTACTCCCATGTTTACATAACAGTCATTCTCCCAAAGTTGGTCTCAACATAACCATTATCCTCTAATAGTAATACACTACTAGTCTCTAGGTTTTAAAAACCATAAGGTTTACAATTTCAGAAAAAAAAAATCCTCACATAATTTATACATAGTTTAAAGGAAGACTTGAGTTGTTTGTTAACAATATTGATTTTTTTGTTCACGGGAACTTTCTAAAATAGACATCAAGCTTTAAAAACAGCACTTTGCTTGCTACAAGTCCAGAGATATATGGTCAACTTTCTCATACAATGCTAGCACTGGAACGCGGGGCTAGCCTTCCAAACCATAAAAGGAATATTATCCTTTGCATTGCAAAGGCATTAAACAAAATATTTTTGGTTCTTAATGGTAAAGCTACTGCTTACCCATGAGAAAAGCAGCTAATGTTAATGGTTGATGACCCTTTACCCATACAGTTAGTATTGTAAATTCACATTAAAGTAGAGATACCAGTAAACAAAAAATGTACAGATCTCAATGGATGAAGTATAGAAAGGAAAATACAGATTTAATTTTTTTTTCTTATTTCCTGTAAGCATATTGCTTACAGTAGCTTTTACAAACAAGGCTCTAAGCAGGAACACTACTATAACGTTCTGTCCTGCTAAAGAACTCTTTTGCAAACCCCTGGTTATTTTCAAACTGATATTAAAAGCTTAAAGAGAAGACACTTAAGCAAAACCGCAACCTTCTGCCTATTCCAACCTAAAGCATCAGGCCATGGAAAACAGACATTACGAGGAAATCCAAACAATTTGAAACCATGACACAGAATTCATTCCACACAAAGAAGTTTGCATGGTGTCTAGGTAGCCAGAACTTTTATACACACCATAAAACCACCCTCACAGTATAGTTCTTACAGGGTAGCAGTATTTGTAGTATTGGTTAATCCCTTATTGTTGCAAACAAACAATTCATACAGAAAATCTCACCTGCCAGAAGAAGAAATTATAGAAAGAAATGAAGGAAAGGTAAACCAGAAATTATTGAGCTCTGCCCTTAGTTTTTAAGGCTGGTCTTTTTTCATTCTTTGGTCAAGATAATAGCTTGCTTTGTTTCCATTCTCCATTTCCCTAACACCTTTAGAAAAGGAGAAAACTTTAGCTACCTTACAGCATAAAACGATGGTTATCACAGCTACTACAGTTAAAGAATAAACAAGACTAATGACTGTTGTTACAACAAGCAAAATAGGCCTTAATACCACAACCTCACTATGGGTGGCACCTCACCGACTTGACAGAGCTATTGCCTTGGCTAGGTATTAATTTGATCAGTGACCCACCACAGAAATTAGTCATAGAACACATTCCAGAAATGGGATTTGAAACAACAGTTGATCAAGCTGGTTTCTATTTCTGATTTTAATCCCTGGGTTTGATCTAGGCAGAGGAAAAAATGACCTTCCTGCACCTACTGTCACACAAGGCTAAGAGATTTAAATTTGTTTGCCGGCATATTAAATTTGCTCAAACACATCCTTTCGCTGTAAGTACGAAATACTAAAAACTCAAGCAGCAAGCTACAGCATTCTCACATTATGACATCATCCTGTCTGGTATACTTTAATACAATTTGGAAATAAAATTTGATTAACTGAAGGCAGCTTAAAGAGGATACATTAAAGATCCAAATTGAGGACACTTATCCAGTAAAATGAAAAAGGAAGCACAGTACAATATCCAGCTTTTCCAGTGACTTCTACTGAACAGGCCCTACTGGCTGTTCTGATGGGCTATGACAAATACAGTTATCCTATACTGGATGAATGAAAGCAATCCACAAATTCAAACAGTGGGTTTAAAGACAATACACAGACAATATACAAACAAATCAGGGTACAACCTTACTGTATAGATCTGTAAAAGACCTGACACAGGGGGAAATGAGAGCTATACACTCCCCATGAGGTTTCAACAACAAACCAGGTTCCTAGTTTCCAAGCTGAAAACTTCCTTCTGCTGAGGAAGAGCACCTACTTTCAGAGATTCATATTTGCATTTCTTATTACAAGATGCTCACTCTTAACAGCATCCTGATCATTGACAGAAAAATATCAACAAAGTTTTTGTGATAGTAATGATTTCTATCAAGGCTGGGTTTTAAGTTTATAAACATCATCAGAAAATGAGGTGGAAATACAGATGCTATTCTTGGAGCATCAAAAAAGTAGAGCATACATGAACACAGACAAAAACTTTGAAGTTACCACCTGTAAAGGCATATTACAAAAAATAATCTCCACCATGTCAGTATAACTACTTATGAACTTTAAAAAATGTTAAATATTTTACAAGAGTCACAGGGAAAGCAAGCAGTTACACTAAACCACAAAGAATCACTGAGACAAAAAGTCATAACTCTCTTGCCATACAGATCCAAGGCCAACAGGTAGTAATACTCACTGCTCAGTAGTTTCAAGAGGAAGCTCTTAAGTACCAACCCATGTGCAAAGCAGAGTGCCTGCATCTCCTGAACAGCAATCCATGTTATAATCAAACTGTTCCTACCACTGGTAAGGAATCTACCATCATACAAGCTGTCATTTCATATAATACTAAACAAAATGTATCAGGTTGGTGCAGAGAGCTATAAGAGCTAAAAAACTACAGTCTATCCCCTCACTTCCTGAAAAATGAGTTTCAATACAGTGTATCTATAGTTTCAAAATTAAGAGGAAAAGTATTTTTAAGTCATTAAAATGCAGAACAGACACTTAAAAAGTTAGGCATACCATACTAATCTGTTTACTAAACTGACAAGAGTAACATCCCCCAGTCCCCACACACATTCCTAAAAGCACAAATACATCTATGTTGCCATCACCAACGTGTCTCACAGGACGATTAGCTTAACTGAAGTTTCATAATTCGGAGGTCTTGTTCGCAGACTAACAGTGTGATCCAACACGAAACACACAGAATATGTGATTACAAGTCTAAGTTAAGGAGCTTTTGGTTAGGACAGCCCTTCAAGTTTGAGTCATTTTAAAGGATCTGAAAATAACAGTAGCCTAAGGCAAACACACACATTTGTTTTCCTTCCACAAACCAAGATTAAAAAAAACATAGCCAGAGGTCACTGGAAAGGAAAAAAAAATAAAAAAAGACAAATGGTGCTTAAATAACCTAAAATATAAGTCCCCTTACTTCCCGAGGCACACACAACACAGTAGTTAGAGCTGAGGAAGGAGCTGTTTGCCCATGTGTACTTATTTAAATAGTCCCATTCTTCGCTGTGTATACACGAATGCACCGAGACACCCACCACTTTGTCCATAAGCTTCCAGGTCTTTTCCACAGTCCTCCGGTCGGCAGCTGCCTGCTTGGGGGGGCCCACAGCATCCTGAATGGCATCGATGAAGCCCAGGATCCGTCCCTTGCGCGGGTTCCGGCCGTTGAGCGAATTGGCCATCTGGGAGCCAAGCTGGCCGCAAAGACAGAGAAATACAGACTCACAAGGTGCTCTGAAAACATCTTGTCACAGAACCCGTCGCAGCCTGCGAGGCAACACCTCCTTCTCCACGGGCAGGAAAGGGCAAGATCACGGCATGTTTAGGAACAAGCTTAACTTTTCACGACAAACAGCGTAAACCCACCTGGCCCGGGTTTACATTGGCAGAAGCGATCCAGGATTTATCGTCAACACCGGCACGGGCAGACGGGAGGGGGGAGCACACCCGCGCCCGGCTCCGCGCCCCCATGCCCGGCCCCGCACAACAAAAGAGGCCGCGGCAGAGCGGGGGCAGGAGGAGGAGGGAGCAGGGAGAAGCAGCGAGGGCAGCAGGCAGGCAGGAACCCGCAGGGCAGGCGGGGGCAGCGGCTGGCAGCGCGGACCTGGCTCCCGGCGCACGCAGATGCACGGGCTGGCGCGGCACGGCCGCGTGCCGAGGGCGAGGGGAGTCGCCGGGAAAAGCCGGGGGCGGGCAGGGAGGCTCCTGAGCCCCTGCGGCGGCCGCTTCCCCCGTCCTCAGTCCGGAGCGGCCAAGCGTCTCTCCGGACGAGGCTCTGTTCCCTCCGGCGGCGGCGGCTCCCCCGAGGCGGGAGGCAGGCGGAGCGGAGCGCATCCCGCCCCGCGCCCGCGCCCCGTCCCGGCTCCGCGCCGGCCGCCCCAGGGACTCTGTCCTGAGCTGCCGCTGCTGCTGCTGCCACCCCGCAGGGAGCCGTGCGGAGCCGCTGCCCCGCCGCCCGCATCGCCCTCCCGTAGCACAGCCCAGCCCGCCCGGCGGGCGGGTGGGAATGTGCGCGCGTGTGTGGATAGTCCTACGGACACATGCAAGAGAGACAGACAGAGAGAGAAAGAGAGAGAGAGATGCACACGCACAGGTCTGTCTGCGGCACCGCTCGCAGCCCCCGGCAGGCTGTGGTCTCCCCGCACTCCTGGGAAGTGAGGCTGGCTCGGCGGCGGCCCCGCTCCCTGTGCCGCTCCCGCCCCCTCCCCGCGGCGCGCTGGCGGCCGCTCCTCTGCTCGGAACATGCCCACCCCCGGCACAACACTCGGTGCGCGCCTGCGCGGCCGTGCCAGAGCGGGAGCCCCGCCCCCTGCCCGAGGGCGGGAGCCGCCGCTACACAACAGTCAATCACGAGGGGACACTGAGCTTGATTGACGTACCTGCCAGCAAATGGGAGTGAAGCTGGGCACGGGGCGGGGTGGCGGCGGGGAGAGGGGTTCGGGATCGGGATGGGGAGGAGGCGGGAAGGAGGGGTTGGAGTGATGGGAAAGCTGGCTAGGATATGTGGTTGAAGCCAGGGAGGGCTGGTTCCGGCTCCACCTGGTCCTGCTGGCGCAGGGGGCGGCCTGGGGCCTTTGGGGCACCGGGGGTGCCGGGGGTGCCGGGTGGAGGCTGCCTTGGCGCTCACCCTGACATTGTCCCTGGCTGTGGCAGGCAGCGTGTCCCTCCCTCTCCCGGTGGAGCCGTGGGACCCCTGCCTGCGGGAACACTCGGTGTGTGTTAACAATCAGTAGTCATTTTTGCTGCCTTTGCGCTTCCCCTTCGCGCTTCTGGGAGTTTGCTGGGGTTTTTGTGGCCACTAAGAACAGGAACTTCAGCTTTTGTCTGTGTGGGTTCTTCTCTTGATTTTTTTGGGGTTTTGTTTTTTGGGGGGGTTGTTTGTTTGTTTGTGTTTGTTTGTTTGTGTTTGGGTTTTTGTTTGTTTTGTTTTGTTTAGAGAGGTAGGGAGGTTTGCTCCTAAGCAAGTGCTGAGATTTCCATGCTGGAAATGGGCTGGAGAGCCTCATGAAGCTCCCAAAGGTGGTGAGGGTGTATGTAAGCACCTTCTAGTCAAAAACACCCCTTCAGGTATGTTTGTTTTGATAGGAACACTTGCCCTGCAAATATGGTAAATGAAACATAATTGATGAGTCTTTAAGCTTTTATTTTAGGGCAAGTTTTCCACTCAAATTTGTGTATTACCTGTGAATGCTGGAAAAAATGAGGCTTACCTACACAGGGTACAAGATGCTTGCCTTCAGATTCTTCTGAATATGTTCCAGGGAGTAATTATACTTTGCAAGAGTTAATATTCTAATTATCATAACAGGAATCAAAAATGCAACACTTAAAACCTTTGATGCTATTTTCTAAAGACAATTGCATTAAAGGAGTGCTTTTAAGTTTTGGTTCAGCAAGTATGTTTTCCATAGCAGTTTTCTTTGTGAGGATTTTTTTTTTTAATGGATTCCCCCTTTTTCCTAGTATTTCATAATTTTTCTGACTTTTGACTTTTAATAAAATAGGAGTCAGGAAAGACAGCACTAAAGCTTGTAGAGTATTTCAGTTTCCTTTTCTTTATATTGTAATTTATAGGCATATAGTGCAGATGTCTTCCTGTTGATTTAAAATGTTACTTTCTTGGGCACACATACAACAATAAAATTATATCAATGTCTTCCTCAAAGGCCGTTGTTCCCCTATAGCTTTAAGATATGAATTGGCAGTTACTTGCCTTAAGTGGATTGGAAACTTCTCATTTTACTGTAGGCTCTGTAAACTGCTCCCTTCCCTGTGTTGTTTTAAATGTGGGTTTAGAATTCTTCTCTGGCAGGTATCTTTGTCCTTTTTTTTGTTTGGATCTCAGCTTTCATAAGATTAAGTTGGTAGTGACTGCTCACTCTGTTGCTATCTCGTTTGGTTGTGAATAAAGCAGAGGATCTGATGCTTTTTCTGAACTTGTAAAATCTTTGGTTCTTTCAATTGTTTTGTTTCCATTGTTGTTGTGTCATTCCCTTCATATTCTGCACTCTGCCAAGAGCTATGATCTGTGAGTTCCACTTGGTAGCTGTCTGGGGCTGAGTCATGTTGTCTTGCAGTTCATCTGAGTACAGAGCCAGCAGGAGCAAGCAGCTTGGTTCCTTACATCCCTCTGCATCTGTATTGTGTTATTAAGAGTTCCCCAGTTCGATGGGGAAAGTGAGTGGTTTTCAAACAGTGTTTTTTTATGGCTGATGCTGTACAGTAAGTACAGATATTCTGGGAATTGCAGTCAGCGGGTCATGTGAGTGCATGTTGGAAGGAAGCCAGTAGGGAGAAGCAGGTGAAAGAGATACCTACATCTTCAGTATCAAGGCTATTAAAGATAGGTCAGGCTTTTTTGTGCTGTGCTGTGGAAGGACTACAAGATGCAGCATTGCTTTTGTGGTTTTAAGCACACATGGTGACAGGGCTGTTTAGAAGACAGCTGAGAGGAGGAGCAAACAGCTGCTCTGTGAAGGTCAAGGCATGTGTTTCTTAGCACTGGAGATCATAAAGACTTGGCTTTCCCACTGGATCCATGGGGTGCATAAACATAAAGGGTGGTTGCTGAAGATCCTGGCCACCTGGAATATTTTGGTGCAGGCCAGCAGCAGTATGTTAGTGTAGATGTCCAGCAGAACATGTGAGGATATTCCTACTGCCCAGCTTCAGGCTCTCTAACACGCTAAATTAAGGAGCTAGTCTGCCATGAATAGATGCACTGAGAGACCACAAAGTGTTTCAAAGCAGAAAACTAGGTCAGGTTCTTGGATTCTCTGGGAAAGAGCACCTTGCTGTTTGGTCTATATGCAAGGTGCATAGGTAAGTTTTGTGTCTAATTAGGCCCCAAAATTATGTATGTACAATTAAAATGCCTCCACAGATCTCATTTACTTATAAGCTCTCCAACTGTTTATTTTACTTCTCATTATAATAGAGAACATGACAGTTTGGATCTGTGTTTTAATCACTGTATGAAAACACTACAGAAGGGAAACAAGGTAAATGTGAGGCAACAGATTTTGAGAATTCTATGTTACATGAGACTGGTCCTCAGCCTAGTTAAGGTACTAAAGAGTCATATAATGATGACATCATTGGGATGTCATCCAGGATTTGGTCAAATTCTGTAGTAAAATTTGTGGAGTGAAGGTGATTGTGAGTCAGGATGTGATAAAGGAATCAAGACAGTGTAAAAGAAGCCTTGTTTTGAACTCTTTAAGTCCCTTTGTAAAGTAGGAATTTCAGATCTGAGCATTTTAGTGAAAGGCAAGATCATGTGACTTCTTGAAAACCCCAGCTGCTTGGTAGGGAGAAAACAGATACAAGAGATTAAAATTAAAATAACAGTTACATTCATCCATTGCAGTATTTTCCTATCTGTTAACTGGTTTGGGTTTTTTTTCCGGGGGGAGGGGGGGATAGTTGTTTGTGTTTTTGTTTTAGTTTTTGTTTGGTTTGTTTTTTTTTACTTTCCTGGTGACTCACTTCTCTGGAGTTCTTAGACAGCCTTATGAATGAAACTTCGTGTTGCTTCTCTTGAATGAATTCCATCAAAGAGCAATTGACAGTAGTTGGAAGCAAGAGGGATGTTTTGGTTTGGTTTTCTTTGTTCACCAGCTATTAAAATATTACTGATTTTCTGCAGTCTGTCAATACATGTGGTTTGGGAGCTTTTTTCATCTGTGTGTGTTTTTTTCTGTGGTCCGAGTGACTTTTTGCCCAAATACACTGAAACATAAGAACAATGAAGAGGTCAAATGTAGGTTTTATTTATAGCAACGTATGTAAGATAAGGTTAATATAGTATACGATGTGCTGAGTTAAGGGATGTAGTAGCAATGCTTGTAAAAGCTTAAGTCATCTCTTTCAAGATTTGAATGGGAAGTGACTTCTTGCGAGTTTTAACACAGTAGTCAGGCTCTCGCAGCATCATAAAAACTTTTAAAGTAATTTCTTTGTGTTTTGACTGAATGTGTACATATGTGATGAAAAGGCAGCTGTTCATGGGGGTGTAGCATTCTGCAGTGTCAGGCAGTGGTTTAATGGCTGAGCTCTGACAAGGTCACCCTCTTCTCAGCTTGTGCCACCCCCAAGCAGAAAGCAGCTGGTCTCTCTTTGCTGGGAAGCTGAGACTTGTAAGGGCCACTAGAACCTGCTGGCATTTCGGTGCCCTACCTTCATCTGTTCTGTGAACACTTCAAACAAAACAACCAAACAAAAACAATAGAAAAGGAACCCACGTTCCACAACCCAAACAAAAAAAAAAAAAAAAAAAAAAAAAAAAAAGGAAAAGCTAACTATTGTAACAACAGATCTAGGACTATTTGCTTAAATACATTTTTGCTAGCCCATTTTTAATATGTATGTCTTTTGCACACCCTCTTCCCCTCGTATCCAATTATTTCATAGTCACCTGTAATAGTTGTTAAGAATATTCACGTGGAGCAAATGGAAAATCCTTTCACGTTATTATTTTACAGTGCCCTTAAGGATGCTAGGCTCTTCAGATCTAAAAAAAACTCCTGTTGTTAAGCTGCAAACCACTGTCATGGGTAACTTTTAATGTAGATTGCAATGTATTTACCTTTTTTTATTGTAGCAAACTGAGAGACAGAAAGCAAAACCAATCACCTGCGGCACTAAGTATTCTCTTACTGATAATTTAAGTTGCTATAATAATAGATGCTTTTCTTGCCTTAGTGGATAATTACTTACAGAAAATTGGTAGTAACAGTGGCAGTTTGTTGTCCAATAATTATCTGGTTAATTTGGCTACCTTTAACTATGTTTTCTCCATTTATTTAGCTTCTGTTTTTCATGGTCATCAAGTAGTCAAGCTTACTTTTTAAAAGATTTTGTTAGTAGTTTCTAGAAATGAAAAAATATTATTTTCACACGTGAAATGTGAATAGTGTAACAGTTTAACCCACTTTGCCGTTGAACTACTGTAAGAAATTAAAAAAAAAAAGCATTCACTGCTTTTCAAAGTTTCCATACACTGTAAAAATCCATAATTACTCCAGCAGGCTGTTGTAGTACAACTGATGCTAATGCAGTGTTGCTGTGTTAGTTCCCTCTGCTGAGTGATTAAATCCTCTTTTCATCCTTGATTTGGAAGCTAAATTTAGCTCTCTCTGTACCTGTAAATAAAATGAGCCAGGCTCTGCTCTCAGGCCCTGAGGCCTGGCAGGCTGGCAGAGGGCTGGTGGCCGCCAGTCTTACTGAACTTGCACCACCTTCA